TTACGTAAATTATTATCCAGTTTATTAGTAGTGCTCATAGATTTAGTTTTGTCTTGCTACTCACTATTTTATTATTTTATTCCCTGTTTGAGACAAGTACAATTATCAAAGTTTTAAATTTGGATAATGCCAACTAGGTAAAATATTGTAGCATCTTTAATTAAATGAAAATTATATTTACTTAGATATTTCTTATTCTCCTTCGACAGAAATAATCGAGATTGGAGAGAATTGCTTCTTCCATTTATGACTTCTTTAGAAACAGGAAAAAATAAAGGATATTGATCCTGTAAGATAGATTGCGGTTTCTGAGTAGGACATATTGTATTTAAATTGATCGTTTGCAGCCCCTATGTTTTTTCTTTTGACTCCTTTGCTTAATTCATGCTTGTCACTTTCTTTGAGAATTAACTCAAATCCAATGCCCTCTAAAGGCTTTTCTATGATATCCTCTGCTCCATTCTTAGTACCCTTCGGTGTGGATATGAAGTTTGGCTCCCTTGTTTACTCCCTGTGCAGTCAGATGTACAGAACTTGAGGGCTAGAAATGCCTCTCTGTAGTCATCATCCCACTCAGTGCTCTCATTTCCTGATGAAGAAGATGAGGAGAATGAGGCCTGACTCTGGACGCAGTCACACAGCTGGTCAGCCTTTGAGTTAGAATTATGACCCAGAACAAGTTTCGTTGCCTTCTGTTTTGTAATGTTCGATTGTTTCATCTGTGTGTTTGGTCTCCCAAGGGAGAAGATTTGCTGTCAGGGACCTGGCCCTTGTTCCTCATTCAAAGATTCTTCCTCACTTCAGTGACTAGAGTAGGCACAATAGAATGCCCAGGACCTAACTTTTGGAAGCAGATGACAGTGGTGTGCAACTATCCTTTGGTCTAGTCCTAATTTTAAAGCACCTTCAATTTTTATTTTAGTATGTGAAACAAATTTCAGATTTTGTATTTTCATAGTTATCTTGACATGGAGACAGAATTAAATGCCTCTATATTAATGAGTTGATGAGATCAAATTTTGTCATGATTGCTTGGAAAACTATGACAAGCTGATGAGTAGCAAGGTTTGTATCTCAATATTTGATATGCTTTTCTACGTTTTTCTAAATAGTGTGTAGTTCAGGAGAAGAGCTTACTTACAACAGTGCCCCTCAAACTTGGCCATATATCATGATGACTTCACAGCCCTCTCCCTCACACACTTGAATCGAGACCTCTGAGGTTGGGGCCTGTACATCTTTAAGTTTAAAAAACTCTACAGTGGTTCTGACCTGGTGCCAAGGAAGAGAACCATTGGTTTAGAAGAACAGCATTGTTGAGATAATGAAGGCCCTCTTGTAAGAGAAAATTGCTGCATTGCAGAGGAGTTCCTGTTGGATGTATACATAGAAATCATGTAGAAATGTACAAGCTGATTTCATACATCACAGAAATAGCCCTATTGCCTTTGGGCTATGTCTTTCAGGCCTACATAGAAGTTAAATTGAGACTACAAGCCTTCATTATTCAGAATGAAATTGATTAAACCAGGGTTGAGTTCTCTGCTTCTCAATTCAGAAGTGACACAGCAAACCCACATTGATTACAGAAACCTGTTATTAGAAACTGCTGTTTTGTCAGTGTAATTGCTAGTGACCGATCAAACCAATTGAAAGTTGTAAGACTGGTTCTGTTTGGACACGATGGGTCTTACCTTACAAGTGTTATATGTAACTTCCCACCATTTGTGAGACTGCCATTGGGTATTCCATTAAAATGAGTCACTATTAAGGATATGTTAAAAAAATCATATGCATACATTAGAAAGTCACAAAATAGTCAAGTGGTCACAGAAGTTTTGTTTAATTAAATTGACTTGTGGAGAATTGGCACAAGTCAATTTAACTTTACTTCTTGCAACTTTTTCTGAACCTTGCTTTGGACTGGGTGCTATGGATCACAGAAAAAGCCTGAGAATAACTCTTGAGCCAAAAGATAATATTTAGTTTTCAAGGGAGGCAAAGTTCTAATTCTAGGATTTCACAGATAAGGAAACAAAAAAAAATGTGTGTGATAAACTGTCCATTAAGAAAAATGTAGAGCAGGAGGAACTTTATTTTCCTCCTAAGAGTAGGTTACGTTATTGTAAATCTATGTGTATATGGACCACATCGCATTTTCATTTATTCAGTGGAGAATTTGAGAGGGTCTGTGTTTTGCACTCGAATATTGGACACGATTCAAATAGGAGTCAAGTGCGTCTAGAGGCTTTATTCATACCTATTTTCTTTTAGTCAGCAATGCTTCATAATGCCTTGGTTTCATGAATTAATTTTAATGGAATTAAACTTGAACAGCTCAAAATTATATAATTAATTTCATTCAGCTTCAATTAAAGTTACTAATTGAATCAAGACTACTAGCATGACACCTGGCGGCAGTCAGCTACATAACATTAACAGCAAGTATGTAGAACTCTGCTGAGGAGCGAGTTCATGTCTACTAGTGAGTTTGTATGAACATTTCTTTTATTGATAATCTCAGAAAGGCCTTGAGTTGATGGAAGCATTGGAAAAATTTCTGGAGTTATTTTAAAAAGTAAAGATTTTAATTGAAACTAACATATCTCATGAAGATTATATTTTCTCTATGATAATTCTGAATAAATGTTACATAAATCTAGAACATATTGGTTTAGCATGTTTTTAATTTATATTTTACTGCTATCTGGATATGCTATCTGGATATTTTTGCTTTCTACAAATACTTAGAATTGAACACCCTATTTTTTTCATATACCTTAGCCTCTGGACTTAGTCCTAATCCGTCTATTTTTTATGTGCTGAAATGTGTTTTGTGGCAGAACTTTTCAGTTGTTGTGAAATCCCCATGGTACATGATAAATTTTTGCATGTGCAGAAATTTTTTCCTTCACTGGAAATGTTAACACAGTTGACTAACAACTTCTGTTTGAATCTCTTTCCTTTCTTTGCTTCCATGTCTTGAGGTCATCCAGCTTCTTTTACTTCTCTAACTCCTTCCTACTTGTACAGACTCTTCTTGGTACGTTTAATATGTTCACTCTTTTGGTGGACTCATTAATTTGAATGGCTTCAGCAATAAAGTTTAGCAAGATCAGTATTTCTAGCCATAACTTTTTTTCTGACTTGCAAATTCAAATGTTCAGTCTACTCATCCACTAGTCTGTAAAACTCCACGAGGGGGCCGGGGCTGTCTCCCCTAATTCATTGTATCCTCATTACCTAGCACAGTGCTTTAACTTTTACTCTGTACAAATGCATCAGTTTTAAAAGACTACATTAATTCTCCTGATCTCCAGATGTTCCCAGTCAAATCCAGACTAGAACTTGGTGGTCTCCAACCCTGTCTACCTTGATTATCTTGATTACAACCCTTAGTTAATTTCCCATATTTATCCCCTTTTACATTGTGTTATACAGTTAAACAAACTCTCACCAATTTCAGTATGGACTTTTTAAAGTCTCTCTTCTATTCTTCCTTACCCTATTCTCCCTCTTAGATGTGTCTATACTCCAATGGAATCATTCGAGTGCAGCCACTTCTCCTCCAATTGAAATAGAAACTTTGGTGGTGGTGTCCAGGAATCATTTTTTAAAAAAAAATCTCCCTGAGAGAATTAAAGTGCAGCCAATACTGAGAACCACTAGCGTGCACAAGTTTATTACTCTTCCTAAGCCCTGGCTCTGATTGAGCATTTTGTGAAGCTTCAGTGACTACTTTGACTTATTTTTCTTGCTTTTGAGTTTTGTTCAGGTTTCTCACCTTACCATCTTAATATCCACACGATGTCTCTACCCAAACCTTGACAGTGGCATTCCCTCATATTCCCCTTAAAGTGCTTCACAGCTCAGAAAGTTAAAACCTTTGCCCAAGTGTCTGCTTCTGGAGTTTGCCCATGCTGTTCTTCTACGTTTCTTCCATCTGTACTTTTTGAAATCCTCCTAATCTTTTGAACACCATCCAACACGCACTTTTTTCTGTACTGCCTTTCTTGATCTCTGAATCCTGATGAGTTTTTTTCCTTCCTTTGAACCTCTTCAGTGCTCTTGACCTCTGATAACATGCATTTTTTAAACTTTATTTTATTATAAAGATGTGGGATACAAGTCAGGATTAGGTATCTAAGTACTCTATGTACAGGTGAAGTTTGGGCCTCCAACTGGTCCTCACTTCTCCTGGTTTAGAGCCAGGTTCTCTTAGAGTTGTTATTTGCACACCCCCCTCCCCCAGCAGTGTCCCACACCTGCTGATGCCTCCTTTGTGCTATACTGTGATTAATGTCCAGGTCCCACTTATGAGTGAGACATGTGGTGTCTGGTTGTTTCTGTGTATCATAACATGCACTTTACCTTATATTATGGTTTGCTTTCTATTTGATTTATGTTCCGCAAAAGACTTTACATTTCCTTACATATTAGCTTTTCCCCCAAGAACCCATAAACCCACATATGAATCTCTTATCTCAAACATTCTCCTTCTTTGAGAATGCATTCGATAATCCGTGACTTTTTCCTAAGCTTCTAGAAGGGAGAACACTGTACTTGCTTTCTACACCTCCTCTACTCACTCACTCACTCAGCTGCAGGCTGATCATCTCCCTGTTCATCAGAGACTCTTCTCCTTTGGTGCTTTTCCTTACTGCCCCATCCCCTACATGTGTGGACTCACTCATTCTCATCCTTAATGGAACCATTCCACATTTCTCTACCACTTGCTATGTTGAAATTATTAGTTTGCTGTAATCATAACAAATTATTTTTGCTGTGAATATCTGTTTCTTTCATGTAAGGCAGATAGTAGGTGTTCAATAAATATCTGTTATGGAGACAATAACAAAAGCTGCAGTCGATATAGGTACATCTCTCTCATATCCTTTAATCATGGCACACTTAGGAGCATTTAGAAAAAAAAATCTATTAACTAAAAAGAAGAAGAACTTGTAAAATCTAGTAATAATAAATGTATTTTTTTAATTCAGGAAAATGTGATAAAGACAGTATTGAGAAAGATATAACTCAAGATACCAATAGCCACTTCACACATGGAGAGCTGCAAGACCAGTCCATTTGGGGGAATCCTTCGGATGGGGAACTCATCAGAAGTAAGTGTTTTAAGAAAAAAATGTGAGTGATTTGAGTATGATAATTTGTTCTCATTACATTGTACCATATATTTCTGCTGCAAATATGTAAATCAATAGAGTTTATCTGAAAGTGTTTCCGTTAGTATTTTAAATTACAAAGCTAAAACCAGGATACAAATAATGCTTCGGCTTCCACCCTTTGTGTACTGTGGTCTCATTCTCAGTTTTCCAGGATGAGCAGAGAAGAATAATTTGTTTTCTGGGAATCAAGTGTTGTTTATTTTCCTTAAATATTTAATTATTTAGTTCAGACAACTTCATAATATAGATCGTTTCTTATAGTACATATCACACTTACTTTGAAAGTAGAAACATTTCTTTCCTCTCTCTTAGAATGCCTACTACCTGTTCTTAACTGAAAACTGAACAAAATAAAGCAAAAAAAAAAAAAGTAGGAAGAGACAAACAACAAATCAAAACACTATTGAAGGAAATGTCCAGTTTTCAAACAAAAGCTCTAAAAATGAATGTTTTAGTTTAATTTTAGAACCATTTTTGGTTTTTATACATTTTTACCATAGAGAATGGAGTAGGAAGGAAGGAAATGAGACAGAAATTAGTGGGGAGTAAGATTTATATGACTTCATCCAAAGAATCAAATGAACATTATTCCAAGTAAATATTCTATCTTAAAAACACATATTGGTTGTCTTTTATCTAAATATTGACTCTGCTGTTGTGAAACTTATGGTTTTCTGAGATACTGGCATATTTTATCTGTGTTTTCCTGGCAACTGGAGTTAGTAGGTACTAAGAGAGGTCTTAGAGACAATTTTACTTCTACTAGTTGGGAAGCAAGATTGGTTTCTCACTTTTTATCTTTTTTTCATAGTAACAGAATTTTAAGTATGTGTGTTTCATTTCCTTTATTTATTTCCCTAATCTCCTTACCCAAGACCCACACTAGGAAAATGTGAATAGGAGCTATTAAGACTATATATATATTTTTGTTTGTAATATATACTGTTAAATAAGAAAATGGGGAATATATTAATGTGTTACATTTCTTTGTGTTATTTGCTGAAGCTCATTTTAGTCATGGAATTCATATCATTAAAGAGAATAGATTTAAAATGATTTAGTCTCCCCATTGTCTATACCAGTTAAGTAGACACTGCTCAAAAATATAATTGTAAATTGCATGAAAGAGTTTCTTTACCAAGATAATGATGCCCCCATAGGACACTGGAGCCATGGGACACTGGAGCATTTGGGAACAACTGTCTGGTTTCCTACTAATGCACGTTGAAGGAATGAAGACATAGAGAAATGTATAGTCCCTTCTAAGAGGGCTGCTGTGAAAAATGACAGATTAATAATGGATACACAAAAGAGAATGGCTAAAGTCAGTAATGCCACTCCTGCCTGAAACATAAACTGGCAAGCGTTTCCAAGTATTTGTGGATGACTTCTGACTCTGAATTCTGATCACCAGTTTAAAAACCTCTATTTTTTGTTAATTTTTCAGCCACACTTTGTTCTAGACAAAGGCTACTTTGTTGAATCAACAGAAAAAAATTGATATCTGGATTTGCAGAAGCGGAACAGACTGAATTTTGGATAGCATTTGAAAGTTGTGTATTGTGGTAGCTTCTGCTGTTTCAATTCCCTGATACTAAACTCTGCAGAGCTGCCTGACTTTTCTTCTTTGACCTTCCCCACAGAGCCATTGACTGTCTCTGCACAATTCAATGTCTGTCTCGCTTAACCCTCAGTTTAGGGAGATGTGTGTTTTTTTCTTGCTTCAGCATCTAGCACATTTTTGGGGCCCCTTAAATCTTTTGTAATAGCAATAGGCCGTGGAAAGGGAGACTGGCTCAGAGCTCCATGGGGGAGAAGGGAACATCTGTGGTGAGTCAGGACTGGGCTGGCTCCAATTCCAGGAGCCCTGTGTGACTCCCTGAACACCGTGGAAGAGGCGGACAGCTGGCTCTCACGGAACTGATGCTAGTGTTCCCACTGTAGTGCGAGGTTGGTTGGATGGAGGGATCATCAGAAAAATGAGGCCGGCTAGGGTGTGGGAACATTTTCAAATGCACAACCCACTCTTTTTCCAAGCTTCCATGGGACAGCTCAGCTGAGTAAGCAAGAAGTGAAGGAGAGTGACTTTGTTGAATATGACTTCTTTTTCTTTATCTATTCTTAAGAGTGGTTAGTATGGGCTGGGAGCTCATGTCTCTGTTATCCCTGATGGCTGCTGCCCGTTTTGCCCGACATTTAAGGCATAATTTATAGGGGACTGTTAGTTGTCAGTGTCATGAGGCTGTTTTTACTTTTCTTTGCTGAGAATAACTGAGTTCTGGAAAGTCAAGGGAGTGGCTGCTTTGGAAATTGTATTCTAATTAAAGGGTGTATTCTCAGGCCTCATAAACGAGGCCCAAGCTGAGAACAATTTCCAAATTATTCTGTGAACTTTAATCCTGACCTCAGTGGACCACTCACTAGGGCTCACACTTGGTTCCTGATTCACACAGAAGTTTGTACTTTGTCTGCTTTCTCTGGTCCTTCTAGAAAACATTGCAGGTAGCAGACCTGGGGTACTGTGATCTTTGAGGGCCTGGGTTTCCAGTTGGTCATCTTTGAGTTGCTAACTTATTAGAGATAATTCTTTCTGGAAGTAATAAATAAAGAGAAGAAATTCATATTTCTAATAAAAAGGTCACATAAAATCTGATCAGAGAATGTGCATTGTGAGTTTATTTATTATGAAATTTAAATTTAAAAAGAAAATTTCAGCCACTTAAATTTGTTTTTAAAAACTCTTAATCAAATTAGTACAGAATTTGAAACACTGAGTTTTTGTGGGAAAATTTATTACTAGAAGCTTCCTTTTTTATTTTATGATTTTTTAAAAATTCTTTTTATAGTTTAAAAGATTTTCATAATCTGAGGAAACATTTTTGTGTATAATTTAATTTCTGGAATGAGGCTTACAATTGGAGTTTATAACAATAGCTTTTTATAAGCACCAGCTAAGACTTTGGCTTTTTTCCCTCAGATTAGCATATATGGTACAGTATATGATTTGGAGCTATGCCTTGTTTTAATAATCACTATCCCTCTGATTTAGTAAAATAAATATTGCAGTGAAGTGACATCCTCAATTAATATTAATTTTTCTATTTAACCCATAATATGCATAAATTGATAATAGGCAATAGGTAACATTTCGTTTTAATTAGACTAGAAAAGGAACAGAAGTAACATTTTGATCTCAGTCTTTGGGGGGATTTCTAAGGTAAGAAGGAGTGTGTGTGTGTGAGTGTGTGTGTGTGTGTGTGTGTGTGTGTGTGTGTGTGTGTGTTCGTTACTGTGCTCACACTCTGGCATGGGTAATATTTTTCTTTAATTTAGGTCAAATTCTACTATTGTAATTATTTCCTATAGAGAGCTTACATTTTTCTTTGTTCCTCTTTATAAAGTGCCTCTGGTCTCTAGCTCAGGTTTTTCTAGGTCTTCCTGAAAATTCTTATTACTTAACATTATCCTTGGACATTGCTTTTACATAAACGTCCCCTAATTCTAAATGTCATTACTTAACTCCAGAAATTTTCTTGAGCTTCTCTTCTGAAATAAATTTCCCATTAAATTAAACTATTTTGTTCAGCAAATTCTCTCCTTTGTGATTTTATAGAATTCCCATGATCTGAAGCAAAGTTAGAATGCTCCACTTAAATGGCAATCCCCATTCTATTTAACCCATTTATTCATTTTGAAGAGTTTTTAGCTCTCATAACAGTAAGCACTTAATTGGCAGTAGAATGCAAGCCCTCTCAAGCTCACACTCACTCACCCTTGTGGAGCGACTGTATTCTGCCTTTTTACTTGTCTCCTACTCGAAACCTTTCTCTTGGCATCATCTGCATTCTCTCTCAACATCAACAGGCTCTGTCATTAGGAATTCTTATTATTTCTTTTCGTAGCCATTGCCAGCCTACCGCTGATCACCCCTTAATGCATACCATTTCACCACTTTAGTGAATGCCTCCTTTATGTAAAACACTGAAAGGAAAGCAGATACTCAGGTGTGCTATTTATATAATTGGAACTTTTTTACTTTGATGATTAAGGAGTGCTGAGAGATTTGTGTTTAAGTTCCTTACACAGCTCTCTTGTTTGAATGCACCTTTTATTGAGTATTAATTTGGTTTTCTTTATAATTCACTTTCTATAAAAAGGCTATAAATTAGCCCCTAGATAACTGCTGCCCAGATAGACAGGTAGAGGTAGCTTTCATGTTGTTTCTTAGGTAATGTAGGATGTTTTTCCTAATATTTCATGCTCATTCATTTTGGGGAATGCATATTAAGAGTAAGTCATTCTGACTTTTACTTTATTCATGAATTTTCCCCTTCCATTGGTTCTCAGAAAAATTATCTGTTTTTCAGGATGTTGCCCAGTGTTACCGAATGGTTATGTGGCAGCAGTTTGCATGCTTTGATGATTGCTTCAGAGAGTAATCTTTAACCATCAGTTATTTCAAAATCAAACTAATGGTTTGGTTTCAAGGTTGGGGGAATAATCCTAAATCATTTTTGATGGGTTACTGAACTTATTTCATTGGTCAATGGCAACCATTTAGACTGTGTTCTAGATTGGAGATGAAGAATCCTGACATACTTCTTCTCAGGGTACATGATACCATCCTCAGATGATTTCTGCCCAGAAGCTGGGGAGAGCCTTTGCCCGTCTTTTACTTTGAGCATCTTAAGCTGGAAAGATAATTGAAACTGGCTGCCAGGTTTCAATCTCTGACTGCGTCATGACAGATGTTTGTAATTCTACTGCACAGATAGATGAAGATGTTCATCTGTATATATACCTTGAAGTCCATTACTGTTTAAAGATTGTAGTCAGTAATACATTTCTTCTACTATTTATCTCTGCTTGTCTGGATTTATAAATTTGAAATTACTCATGGCTTTTAATGGATTTGTGAAGTGACAAACTAACAAGAG